TTCAGCAGTAAAAATACTAGCCGAAGATAGTAAATGTCCTTGTACGACGCTGTCCGAAAACACTGCTGCGAATCCTACGCCGTCAGAAGACTTAGAGCCATCTGTGTACACAGCAATGGCATGAGAATGAGAGTGAAAGTGGTCAAGAAAAAGAGAGCGGGAAGCGACCGTAGACAGTTGGGCTTTCGAGCAAGGGGGGGAGAAAGAACAGACTCAACAGCTGGAACTTCCCAGGGGGGTGGGGAAAAGTGAGATGCTACATGTACATAGAAAGGTGGTAGTTGAAGAGAAGACAAGAGCGAATAAAGGGTGAAGAGAGAAGGGACGGAGTAAAAAGGGGCGGTGAACAAATAAAGAATGTCTACTAATATCAGTGACCATTCTATAAATGGAAGGATTGCGGAGATCATGAAGCGTACATAGTAGCGCAGGGCAATGGGCATCACGGCGATCAGATAAGGATGGAACGTTTGCTTCTGCATAGGGGCCCCTCGACGGGGGAAGAGCGAAAAGCACCAAGGCAAAAAAACGTAATCCTTGGTGATGAAGGGGGTTAAGGCTAGAGAGAGTAGCAGGAGATGCCGCTGAATAGATCTGGTCACCAAAATCAAGTTTCGATAAAATAAGGGTGGAAGGGTAGGTGAAGGGGGGTTTCCCGACGTCAGCTCCCCATGAAAGAGAGAAAGGGGTTTAAGAAGGTTCATCCGTCTGTGACAATTTTGCCTTCAGAGAGGTAATGTGAGGTTTCCAGGATAACCTACGATCAAAGAGGAGGCCCCAGAAATTTGACTGTATCACGTTCAGGGTACGGGAGCCATAGAGGTACAAAGGATGACGGAGATGACAGAGCGTCTAGTGAAAGTGATTTGGGGGTTTTAGTGCTGGAAAATTTAAACCCACGTGTGGTGGGGCAATTGGAAACACGGTCGACTGCATGTTGGAGAGAAACTGTAATGAGGTGACAGCAGCGCCCGCACAGGCAATAGCGAAGTCATCAACATAGAGTGATGACCAAATTTTGATGGAAGACTAAGCCAAATCATTAATAGCAAGGAGAAAAAATGTGTGCTCAGAACACTCCCTGGGGACACCTTCAGCTTGGATAAAGTCCGGGGAGAGCACATTATTAACCCGAACACGGAAATTTCCTGTCAGTTAAAAAGTTCTTAAGGAAGGATGGTAGATTGCCTCGAAGCCTAAGGAGTGGCTTGGGCCCAAAAAATTATACCTCCAAGTTGTGTCATATGCCTTCTCAAGGTCATATAACTGAGTGGTTATCTTTGCGAACATACGTATCCAAGCGTAGTAAGGGGTCTATGGTAGAACGTCCCTTACGAAAGCCATATTGACGAGTGGAAGACTGTTGTGTGTCTCTAAATACCACACTAAACGTCTATTTACTAGGCGTTCCATTACTTTTGCAAACTGCACTGGTAAGAGCAATGGGACGATAGTGGGAGGTTTCATGTCCCGTAGTGCCTGGTTTGCGGAAAGGGAGAACAATGGCGGATTTCCACAGCTGTGGAAGAACTCCTTGTGACCAAATAAGATTGTAAAGGCGTAATATTGCGCAAGGGCTACTGAGTAAATGTTGTAGCATAACGAATATGAATGTCGTCGGCCCAGCTGCCGATGATCGACAGACTGAGAGTGTTGCCTCCAGTTCTTGAAGTGTAAAAGGCACATTATACTGTTCTTCTCTGAAGAAGAAAAGTCCAAGGGTGCTAACTCTCTGGCAGACTTTGAGGAAAAAAATGAGGGGCATAGATGGAGTCCCTGAGAAATACGGACCAGATGATTGCCAATTTCATTGGCAACATCTAGTGGGTTTGCTATATCAACACCGGCAACCCACAGAACAGGAGCCGGTCAGGAGAATATTTACCACTCAGTTTTCGTACTTTTTCCAGACTGCACTCATAGAGGAAGCAGAGGTGATGGTGGAGACATAATCTCCCAGCAAGTGTGTTTAGCGCACGGATGACACGGCGAGCGATCACACGCTTCTGTTTAAAATCAAGGAGTCGGGAGGATGGGATAGGGGAGGGTAGATTGGGGGTAATTAGGTCGGTCCTGGAGGAAGAAGACCGATAGGTCTAATTCCTCAGGACCAAGAGCCTCTTCACCACGCCAAGGAGCCCCCCTTGAAGAGGACGTCTTGTGCAAAACGGTGTGTTCTGAAGCCAAATTGTCTGTCTGTGAGAGATTATATTCAAGGTTTCTACGAAGGCGATGATGGATGAGGTTTTCGAAGTTTACCTAGAGTTTCAAGAAAGCTGATAAGGCGATAATTCTTAGGGTCAGCATGGTTTCTGTTGGGTTTAGGTATGAGGATAGCAGTAGCAGATCTGAAGAGAGAGGGAAAGTACCCCGAGGCGAGGGAAGCATTGAGAAAGTTAGTGTAGGCAGTGATGGAGTCTCGAAGGTGTTTTAAGATGTGTTAAGGCAAGGTAAGTGCTATGAGGTAAGGTAACTGCTGCAACAAAAGGCCAGGGAGATGAATGAATGTAACTACTCACGATTGTTTTTCTAGTTTTAGCTTTACAAAAAAAAAAAAAAAAAAAACGGGGGAAGGGGGAAGCTCTAAGGAGAAAAAAAAAAACTGTTCATCCTCTTATACATCCAGCAGCCAGTACTGCTGATGCAGGGTGGGTGGCACTTCCTACTCCACCCTCCATGTCAGTAAACTAGAATTTCGGGATGGCACTACCCTAATCAACCATACAAGGCTCAGCTAATACAAGAGGCATGTGACCGAAAACACGCCAAGAGTCGTACCCCTTTGACGCCACCTGTAAATAGTGAGGCTGCCTCCAGGAAACTACCATCACCCAAGGAACATGAGGCCCCCACGGGACCGCTGCAGGGCGGCGCAGTCATGTCCCCTGAATAATCCAGTTCCCATGGTAAAAAACACCACCACCCACCGAGGTCAACCAAAATGAGACTGACTTGATTCATTTTCCCAGTCTAACGAGGTGAAATTCACAAGGGGAAAAAAATATCCTCAAAATATGAGCCGAAAGGAGAGTGGGAGGGTAGGGGTAGAGTATTTTATATTCAATCCATTGGAGGAAATCCAATTCCTCGGATCAAGAGCCCTTAACCGCAACAAAGAGACTTTCCCTTGAAGGGAGGAAAAGCGGCATATTGCTCTGAGACGCCTAAGGAATGGGTTTGCGTTAAGATGCTGTAATGCCAGGTAGTGTAAAGAAAGCTTTTTCTGCTTGAAAAAGACTGCATTAACTGATTGATTATAAGAGAATTATTATTATTAAAACTAAGCGCTAAACGTATTTAGGGATTATCAGAGAAGGCATGCTATGTACGTATCCAAGCAGATTAAGGGATTGATGATAGAATCAACTAACACGAGAATGATATATCACAATTTCTCAGGGATACTAATCTTACAGAGAATAACTAAACAATGTCCAACCTAAAAGCCTACGTGTAGTGTATGTTTTGCTCCATTATTATACAAATTTCACAGTACAATCTCTTAGTAATCAAAAAATCAACTACCTCGGTAATGTGACTTTACTAGTAAGAATAAGTCACCTTATGTTATGTAATTTTCTCGATTACTGTTGCTTGCTTAAATAATTGCTTAATAAATACTTTCTGTCCATTTTACAATCCCATATTTTTTAAAGGCTATTAGTTGCTATTATTTACAAAAATTTTTATTTAATACCATTTTTACTATCAGTCCAATTTACTCTTAACATTTTTGACATATGTGGAACCTCAAATTTCGAACTTAATACATTCCAGGGGCTAGTTCTAAATTCGAAAAGTTTGAAAAGTTAAGCAATATTTCCTATAAGAAATAATGGAAATACAATTAATCCATTCCAGAAACCCAAAAATATTCACAAAAAAAAGAATATTTTATAGAGATTATAGTTTTACATACACAACAAATATAGAGTACAAACATTATATAATGAATAAATTTAAATAAACAGTATAAAAATGAACAGTTTTACTTACCTTTATTGATGATTGGGATGCATCTGGAAGATAGGGAGGGAGAGAGAGGGAGTTGGGGGTAAGTGTTTGGAAGGGAAAACCCCCTCCCAAATGACTTTAGTATAAAAAAAAAAACAAGAGCCCTCTCTGTGGTTACTTCCCTTCCTCTGTCCTTTTTAATGCCACTGGACCATGCTTGAGGAGTCACTGTTACCCCTGTCTCAAAAAATAACTGTCCGCACAGTCCTCTGTTTCTGGGCCCTCTTTAATGATTTCCCTAAAATGGACATGGTTCTGTCCACTGAACTTTTTGCAAAGATGGATTTTTTCAGCTTGATCAGGGTGTACTTCTCCACAAACTTTGGACATTCTGCTTGGCGCAATCTCCTTAACTTTGAATCGGCATGCAACTTCCTTGCCTTTCACAAATAAATCGTCTCAGAAACACATCACCTGCCACTCCTTTATCCTTGATCCACACCCAGCAACACTTCTCAACTGATCGATTGTCTGTGTCTTCTTGTGGTTAGCATGATAAAACTTGTTTGCAACATCATCTCCTTGATTTGTTTTTTTTCTTGCCAGACATAAGTGATGGTTGACTTTTGTTTTTCCTATTACATCCTGGCAAGCTCAACAAGTTTCACACCACTCTCATACTTCTGTATTATTTCCTTCACATCTATGGTGTTTCTCACTTTCTTTACCACAGGGGTACCACTAGCAAGTTTCCTTGGACTCATGGTAACTTATTTCACAGTCCCACAAGCACTAAACACAATGAATTAATCGTAAAATGTTTGATTGAGACAGCAGGTTACTGTTTACTTCAAGCATCAACAAAACCCAGACTGGCTCACGGCGCCTGCACGAGGACATGGACAGAGGGCTGGCAGACAGGTCTGGTACCCAGCGGTTTGTAAAAAGGGGCAAGTTCGATAATGGGGACAAAGTTGGTTTGAAAAAAGCGACTGATTTCCGAAGTTTGATAAGTGATATGTTCAAAAATTTGAGGTTCTACTATATTTTAATTACCATTACTGTGGACCCCCGAGTTTCGTGATTAATCCGTTCCAGAGAGCCTGACGAAAGTCGAAACTCAGGAAACTCGAAACCATTTTCCCCATAAGAAATAATGGAAATAAAATTAATCCATTCCACACACCCAAAATATTAAAATAAAATATTTTTTTTTGCAAATTAAATAAAAATTTATATATTGAAATCAATGAGAAATCAAGTACATGCATATATAAAATAATAATAACATTATACTTACCTTTACTGAAGACTTCTGGGTGGATGAAAGACAGGAGGAGGGGATAGGGGGAAGGTGTACACTATTGTTTGGAAGGAGAATCTCCTTCCATTAGGATTTTAGGTAGCAAGTCCTTATCTGGGGTTACTTCCCTTCTTCTTTTAATGCCACTGGGAACAACTTGAGGGTCACTGGACCCCTGTCGCACAAAATATCTGTCCAGAGAGGTCTTTTTTCTGGCGTTTCTTTAAGAGTTTTTCCTGAAGTGGGACCAACACTGTAATTCTGTATATGTTTTCAAAAAAACGAGTGTAACAATCCATTAGCTAGTAAGATAAATTAACTAAGTACAGTAGGGCCCCACTTATACGGCAGGTTAGGTTCCAGGCTACCGCCGTAAAGCAGAAATCGCCGTAAAGTGGAACACCCTTTTTTCCACTTATAAATGCATACAAATACTAGATAACAAGTTTACACTAACATATATTAAGTTAGCATTAGAACTAGGCATCAAAAACAATAAAAAATTTACAATACAGCACATAAGTGCAACTCAATACTTACCTTAAAATATTTATAGTCTTAATCTAGGGAAACAGTAGTATTTATTGTAAGAAATCAAGTTGGGTATGTAATGCCATGTATACAAGTGGCTTTGGCATGCTGCTCTTACCAGTATTTTTGTAACTCTGATGTATGTTCAATTATTTTTATTATTATTATCAAGGGGGAGCGCTAAACCTGGAGGATTATACAGCGCCTGTGGGGGGGGATGTGGAAGGCATTCAGGCTTAATTCGGGGAACTGGAGCACAGATCCAATTCCCTAAATCAAGAGCCCCTCACCAACATCAAGGACCTTTCCTTGAGGGACATTTGAAGAGAGGGTTTTGAAATCCTTGCACCTTTTATCCTGATTTAGTTTCTCTTAATTTACCTGTTTTACCCCCGCATTTGACTGGGACAGCTCTTCAAAGGCTTCAGTGTTTCTCACTTTCGTAAGATGTTATTTCAGTGTTCAAGTTTAGAATCCGTTTCTTCAGTATTTTCCCGGTGTAAATTATGATTATATATTTCTCACCTGTTCTCCAGGGCCAACATTCGAGGCATTTTTGGGTCTTCTTAATAATTTAGGTGTTTGAAAAGATTCTGGTAGTACAAGTTGGTGAATCTGCAGATTCACCAACCTTATATGGGGCTGTATGTGTACATCTGTATACAAGCTGTATATCTTAGCATCTCTTGGTTTGAAGGTTTTATCATTTGCCCCTTCAGTTGTGATAGCCACATTATCGTGTTATTGTTCTTCAAAAATAACAATCATCTACTGTAGTTGCGAGTGAGTGGTCCCTGGCGGGCCACAGGGAAGAGTTAACGAGAGTCGAACTAATTGGCACTAGCTGCCACGGTCGGTTGACACTAGCTGCCGTGGCTGGGTCCCCAGCCGCCTGCTGGTGGCGCCCCACTGCGTCTTACTCTCTCTTATTCCTCTCCCTACTTTCTCTCTGGCCATCTGCTTTGTTTTATTAATAATTGTCGATGATTTTTTCAGTGCATGTTGCATTCTATAGTTTCCCATAAAATGTAAAAGTTGTCAATATAGTTTTTAAATCATGATTTTTTGAATGGTGGAATTTGAACTGGGGTTTAAATTTTATTCATTGATCATTATTCTCAATCCAGGTGGTATATTAAACCAAAAATTATCTTTAGATCCTTAAAAATGTAAAAGGAGGGAAGATATGGAATAAATGTTTAAACTCTGAGAATAGCTCCTGCTAACTGGTAGTTACAAATGGATAATTATGCTGTATATATACACACACACCACTCACACTACACACACACACACACACTCACACACACACACACACACACAACACACAACATATATATATATATATAATATATATAATATATATAGTATATATATTATAAAATATTGCAAGAAAAGCCAGGGGGGTGAAAACTTTGCTAAGTACTTTCACACTTCTCAGTTGCGTCCATCAGGAGTCCTGTACCCTACTTATCCTGTTGCTGGATTTGCAACATTGCACTAACTCCTGTTGAAGCACTGAAAAGTGGTGAATGTACTTGAGCTGAAGATTTCCATCCCCCTGGCTTGTCTTGAATTTTTAGAGATCGCCTGTCTGGGATAGTTTTTTGCATGCATTCATAAATATACATATGAATATATATATATATATATATATATATATATATATATATATATATATATATTATATAATATATATATATATATATATATATATATAAAATATATATGTATATAATAAATATTATAGTATATTATATATATATAAAGTATATATAATATATATATAATAATATAATATATATATATATATATTATTATATATATTATATATTTTGAACATCTTAATATTATATATATATATATATATATATATATATAATATTAATATTATATAATATATATAATATATATATTATATATATTATATATATATATATATATAATTAGTATATATATATTATATATATATATATATATATATATTATAATATATAATATTATAGTATATATATATATTATATATTATATTTTATATATATATATATTATATATATATTATATATATATAATTATATATATATTATATTTATATATTATATATATATTAAATATATA